TACCTATAGAAAGACTGACTTGAATCACTCAATAATTTTTCTTAAAACTTGTTGGGGAAACAAACCATTGCCCTTAACATTTCATGGATTTCAGTGACCATGCTTTGTAGTCTGCAAGACAGATACTGTCTTTTGGCCTTCTAGACACTGGCTCAAGTTAAACCACAGCTGCAAGAGACTCCTTAACCTTCCCCATCAAACCTGTCAACCCTTCTTTAATCTTGCTGATTCTTGACTGATGTTACTTCATATCATGGTCAGGCCAGCAATCATAAGGAGAATCATTAGCAAAGGCATCTAGAAGTGGCTCTCATCAACACTGTCTCACATTTATCCCTAAATCAATCATGCTGTGACTGTATTGTTCTTGTTGCTAGACAAACTATTTGGCTGTCCTCAAAACCTGAAGGTGTAAAAGGGTTGAAAAGAATCATTTCTCTGTGTGCAAAGGAAAAACAAAAGGCCTCAGCTGGAGAACAGGAAAGAGATTGCTACCATTAATATGAGAAGCCCTTCACATAAGACATTGATCTAGGCATATTTATGTGTAGTAATTTCACCATTTTAGAGTCAGATTGAAACAAATGCTATTTCAGCCTTGCAGACCATGCTGACATCACACAGCCCCCACATTTAGTTCCTTCATATAGTTTGTCTGTGCTGGTGTTATTAATAGGCACACTAAAATGGGAACTTCACCCTGGCTCAGCTTTGACTCACTGAATGGCCTTGGGCACCACATAACCTCTGTCTCCGGTTCTCTATCTGCATAATGTGTTTGTCTCTCCAGTGACTTTACAGTCATGGGACTCATAAATGGGCCACTTCACAGAATTTTTAGATTACAATACACTGGCTTCCCTTTTAATCCCTCTGTACTTCTACAATATATTTCATGAGTTTTAACATGAACTTGCATTTTACATGAAGGCAATGAAACTGTTTCAACAGAAAGAAGAACTACTTAAAACTTTCAAATTAAGCCTCCTAGGAATAGTACCTTGAAGTAAAAGTATGGAACCGCAGCCACATAACAAAGCTTACAGTCTCACAGCCCAAAATATCTTTATTTGATGATGTTTTAAAATAAGCTCTTGACTGTCCAGGGCAAGGGTAGAAAGATGAAAGCTTAATTTCTCACTGTGCAAAGAAATACCAGATAACATAGTTAGCAAAATCTGCGCTGCAAAGTGTGGTCTGGGAATACCAGATGGAAGAATCTGTCGACTGATCTCCATTAATAAACTGGCAGTGAAAAGAGCTACATTATTTTGGAATACAAACTGGCTCTGAGTGCAAGACAGCCCTCTTCATTTGACTGCACCAGAGGATGTAAATCCTCAGTGTAGCTGAGACAACTTGCCCAAAGGCAACTGAGAGTTACTTGATGTTGTCCACTGAAACAATTCCTATTTTTTAGCCTGCTCTAGATCCTAACTTCTCTGCCCCAAGTCTGACCCTTTCTGTCCTAGAGAGAAAGACCTCTCCCATCAAGGAAGCCCCTGAGGGGACTTTTAAGACATGCCATACACAAATGTTTATTTATTTATAATGGGAGCATAAAGTGGAGGCAAAAACAAATTGCAGAGTGAGCTGACTTCAGTTTAAAATGCAAAGACAAATCACGCACATTAACTATCAAAAGTTGAACAGTTCAACACTGATTATTGCATTAGTAAATGCCAAGAGATAATCTCCATGCTGCAGCTTTACAAAGGCCAGACATGAGGCCAACAAGCCTCATTAGATACAAGTGATTGAAACTTTCACTCACCCATTGTTTTCTTATTTTTCCTTATGACTTGGATTTGGGCCTAGATCAAAACTGAACAGCCAGTAATGCAAAGGAAGATTTGTAATCCTGGGATATATGAGACATACATTGAACAGAGTTGCCTTAACTCAGCAGTGAGTTGCTCCCCAAAGTTAGGCCCTCTCAGCTCCGATATCCAGAGACACGGATCTCCAGATACCCCAACTGCCACAGAATGGGAAATGCTGTTCCAAAACCCACTCTAAGGCTGATCTGATCATATAATCTAATAATTACATAATTATTATGATGTAACTACAAATTTATGATGGATCTAGCCTGACAATACTATTTTAGGATGACAGTTCAAATGAGGAGGCAAAAAACCCTGGTCTAATTCATTCCCAGTGTAAACTGGCAGTATTCCCATTGCCTTCAATGAGAGATTTACTTGTTCACCTCTACTTTAATTGTTGGCCAGCATCTTTCCAATATTTAGGAATGAATTGCACCAGCCTAACAACTATTCACTCTTAAATCCAAAGCATCTCCAGAGAGTTGGGGGAAAGTTGTATTTTCATGGAAGTATTTGCATTTAGACAGAAGATTCAGATTTCCTGTTACTGGAGTAACTTACTCATAGAAAGAGAAAAGTTCTTTACAAAATAAAATTAAAGATCTTCAGAGGTAAAGCAGCAAAGGCCAGTTGAAATTATCTATATCCAGACAAGCAGAAAGCAAGAGTCAGAAGCTGCTTAATGGCTGAGCAAAACCGAGTCTAACACACCATGTCATGGCAATGGCTTGAATGTCAGATGGAAAAAGGCACAAGTTCTTAGCTAAAAGAGAATGAAAGATAATGGGAAATTTGGGTACACAGAGCCCCCCACCATGATCCTGCCTAGCAGACAGGTTTAACATGTTGTCATGTTAAGCTAAAGAAAGTAGAGAAAGAGTTCCTAAAATAGAGAATAACAAGGATGAAGGAACAGGCAGAGCCTTAGATACATGCAATCTGCTTGGGTTGTGTCAGCAACAACAATAAATTCACACATTACATCGGAATGAAACGTTCCTACTTTTTTGTTTTGTGGGAATGGGGATTTCGTTTCCATTGTGATGCAACCAAATGAGAGTTTCAAAACAGCAAAATTTCCCAAGGAAGGGAAATTTTGTGTTGTGCTTAGTGAAAGGCTTTAGTCATGTTAGTGGGCGAATTGCAGTAAAACACAAAAAGTTACTCCACCCTTCTGCAACCCAATGCAACAGCAGAGAGTAGAGGATCAATAGCAGCCCACAGCCAAACCAAAAGCATTGCAACAGAAGGTTCTTGATCCTGGAGAAAACACTTCACCACAGGTTGGGCTATCTTTATGATTGCTGTGATGATAAAGCATATCTTTAAACACTTTACCATATTATCTGAGGGATTTTGCTACAAGAGAAGCTCTATGAAGGGAAAAATGGAGAGAGAACTAAGGCAGCCAAGTGCTCCATTATGTCTTCTCAGAAGGCAAAACAGTGAATCATTTATGATTAGTTCAATAAGCAAACCCACTGATTTTAGAGCTTAGCCATAAATACTTTTTTTTAATGTGGTTATTGATTTACTATTTAATGATGGTTGGTTAAAAAGATGAGGTTGCCCAAGACCTGTATCCATTAACAGTAAAGGATAAACGCCTAAGACTTGTGGATAGGTGATGTTTATTGACTTTGATATACTGCATAAATACTGTGGACATACATCAATGACTCAGGTCAGGGTGTGCTGCTCAGAACTACAGATGTTGAAGAAGTGAAATGCTTCAATCAGTGTTTTAGATATTAAAACACAAAAAGGAACGCAAGTTTTACAGAAGAACAGGACTTGAGCAGTAGTTTTGTAACTGTTAGCTTACTTTCAAGAACGATTACCTCAATTTTCATCCACACTAACTATTGCTGCGCATGAAAAAGAAACGCAACCGCCTGGGCTCCTCTGCCTCAATGGCACTACAAAGTTTAGCCACTAGAGTGTGTCAAGGCATATGTGAGGACTAAACCTCTTTACGGTCTGTACCCTTGAATTCAAACTCCTACCATAAGCACTAGACATAGACAAGCAGCTTGAATGTACCATTTTTCTGATTTCCTGCTTGACTACTAGAACTTGTCTTAAAGGTTATACTGCTGAGAAAAGGTCTCACCTCATTACTCTGCACAGGGAGTTTCACATGAACACTGAACAACACAGCCATCCAGAAGCAGTGGAGCCAATTTTAAGATCCATTACACTGTTTCTACGTTTTCAATGTCAATGTCAATGAAATATCCCTTCCAGGCTAAGACTCGCACATTGATGCACTACAATAACCCTGTTATTTTGTACTGAAAAGTCACCACATCCAGTGAGCGTGTGTCAATCTGTCCCTCCCTGCTGCTCTCTCTGCTGGATGTGTGCAGTGAGCAGTTGCAGGACAATTTGAGAGAAGAAAACCCCATCCATGTACCTATGTGAAACCTGACAGTCTGCTCTTGTGCTGAGAATGGGGATGCTCTGCTGTATTTAAGCAATCAGTGTGAAGAGAAGTCCCTCTCTTTGATAGTAAAATAAAAATAAAAATCAGAGCAGTTAAAATTAGCACTGCGTAGGCATAAAGCTTTGCCAGGATCAAACAGAGTGTGGTGAAATGTACACATTTGGAAATGCTGAACATCAGGTTCTGCCTGCAGCCTTCACTGAATCAAGGCTTGGCCCCTTCTCCAGCTCTAAAACTGCACTGACAGCGCTCCCTTCCTCTCTCTTTTTGCCCATTTTTGTCTCTTCAGACTGCAAACTCCCATTAGCTGTTTTGCTTATAAAGGCCAGCTCTTAGTAATAGTTTCTCACTGTCCATATGTCACCCTCTTGCTGAAGATTTTAGACATTAGGCCAACTTTTCCTTAAAATACATTAAAAAAACCCAACACAAACCTCCAAAAAAACTCCAACTCCCAAACAAGTACCATAGGAGAGACAGGAATCCTACGCACAAATCTGTAGTCACATACATGCACAAGTGGTGTTCTGAATGAGACGTGTAGCACTTGATTTCATTATCTACTTCCCTTACGAAAAGTCTGCTAAGCCTTTCTTGGAAACTGAAGCAGCTTTCTGAGCTTCCAAAGGTCCACAGCATTAAGGTGATGATGATGGCTGAGCCATCACTCCTTTTGAAGTCCTTAAGGATCCTTCCAAGTCAGCCACACAGGGTGTATTATGCAAATAATGGGAGAACACCAGATCTGAAGGTTCATCCTTTGCCTAGATCAGCTTGAGAAATAAGAGTCTGACTGGGCATCTGGAGCACCCATCTTCTGCTCTGTAACTTTAGATGAACATTTTAAATGTTGCATTTATCTGAAGCAAACTGGTGGCTGACATGAGAACAAGGAACATAAAAGAAAATAGGAACATGGAATATAAAAGAAAGATCTGTGAGTGTAAGGTCTCCCTTACTCAGTGTATACCGAGCTAATGGTACAGGAGGTGGGTATCCCACAGTCCCATCAGAACTAAGTGATCCTTCCTTTCCTGTGGAGCCAGCTGAAATCACAAATCCTTGCACACCACATTTTCATCCTGAAGAACAGGAGTGCGGCACAGGCAGAGTATACAGCAAAGCTCAAGGTCTAACGCTGGCACAGCATGAGGGAGGAACTACATCCTTACACACCAACAGGGGTGTAAGCAAATGGCTTTTCACAAATCACCTGAAAACTGTCAGGCCAGTGTCTAATGAACGTTCCCTAACTAGAGCTGAGCAAGTGAAGGTTTCCCCAGCTCAGTAACAAAACACAGAAGTCAGGAAGAAACAAGCACAAACCTCAGGTCCCATAAAGCTCATACAGAATGGTTTTTTCTTGCAAAATAAAAACTTAGTAATTTCAATTTGGGGTAAACCTGAAATGTACACTGAATTAAAGAGAAAATGTTTCATGCCATTTTAACCCCCCATATTTTACAATTCTTTTATATAGATTCATTGGAAAGTGGAAAACGGCATTTCAGTTTCAATAGATGAAACCCTTCCTTTTAAATGTACTACAATATTTCCTTTAAAAAACTGAGACAATGTTTCCTTTTTTTTCCCTATTATTTCACTTGAAGCTGTTTGTCTGGTTCAGACTAGTCTCCCAAACAATCCCAGTCCTTTCAAACCGCTGTTATTCCAGGAACTTAATAATCATTCAGAATTTTTGTCCAGCTCTATTCACAAAGGCAAGGAGTATTTTGGCCATACTATCTTGGGGAAGGAAATATCCATGAGCCTTTCTCAAACACCTTTCCGTTTCCTGCCACTGTGTCCCCAGCTGATACTGCCTGTGTCTTTGTGCAGCAGCAGCAGCTCCACTCTCCCTGGCAGAGTCCCTCATTAAACATTTTCTGGATGAGAAGGCTGGAAAGTGAACTTCTCTATAGAGGGAAGCACATCCAGGAGAAGGGATCACAACTCTGTCCTGAGGCAGGATGGACTTGATTTGTGTCAGGGATTATTTTTATCTTCCCAGTCAACTAGAAGCTATGCAGCAAAGTCCACGCAGGCAGGGCCGTGCAGCACTGCTTTGGACCAGACACTGCTTGAAAATAAAGGAAACGCAACGGCAGGCGGAGCTCTGCCCTTCTCCAGCCCTTCACGTAGTCCTCTGCAGGAAAGGTTTCCCTGGCCAATCCCCCAGGAGCTGGCTCAGCTCAGGTACACACCGGATCGATCGCAGCATCACAGAACGGTTTGGGTTAAAGGGGCCTTAAAGCTCATGCAGTTCCCATCCCCAGCCACGGGCACGGACACCTTCCACTAGAGCAGCTTACCTTGAACACTGTCAGGGATGGGGCAGCCACAGCTTCCCTGGGCACCCTGTGCCAGATCTACCCAGTTTGCACAGCTCAGGCAGTACAAGCCAGACTTGGCTTGCAGATTGCCTGAGGAAGGTGACTGCTGGGTTTAGCTCCTGCATCTACCATTCCACACCTGTCCTGGCACAATAATGATGGAAACCCATGGATAAAACCCTACCCAGTTATCTCTGTGGAGTTACAGCACGAAAAGACAAGGAAAACCTCACAAGTGTGAAATTACCTCTGGAAGGGGAAACAGCTATTTCCTCAAGGGTTTTTTCCTTGAAGAAAGGCAGTGTATTTACTGAGTTTCTAACATGGAGAAGCATGTATTTAGATGTAGTGCTTGGGGAGACAGGTTAGTGGTGGACTTGACAGTGTTGGGTTAACTCTTGATTATCTTGAGTCTTTTCCAACCTAAATGATTCTATGTATTCAGTTGCCTGAAAGAACATGACCTAACCCATTAAAGCTCTGCATTTCATTTTCATGGGGAGAGAAGGAAAAGCAGTTAATAGCTGCTAGAATTAAAAAACAGAGCAATGTTTCCAAGCAGCCCACAAAACCAAATAAATGACTTGGATTTCTACATTCTCTTGCAGTTTGGAAGTACAATTATTGCACTGCATTTTCAGTGTTTGCAGCAAGAACAAACTCATAAACTAACAGAAAACTACATTTTCCTGCAGCACTGGTGAACAAGCAGTGACGTGCAAGCGCATAAATAAGACATTTAAATGCATTTCTATGTTAATAAACGTAATGATGTATATAGCTGAATTTTAATCATCTAGGGAATAGAGCTCCTAAATTACAGAGGATAAGGAACTAATTGGATTCTGCTCATCTTCTCTGTTGGCTATGAGTAGCATATTGTGTGTTCCCTAGAACTGAGAAAGAACAACACTCTGGAAAAGGAAGGAGTTACATAAAGAGGCCATCAAGTAGCTTGAACTTTATGATGAGGGGCCTTTTATCTTCTTTTCAATTTTCTAAGTCAAAATACCACTTATTTTAAGAGCCCCTCCATCCTTTGAAACTAATACAACTGAGAACAGTGAGATACGTTATAAAGAAAAAGAGAATTATCAAAATAGTGGCTAAAGGAATAGCTCTTAGGGCACCTCACATAATTTAATCCCTTTGAAATTTCAGGCAGCACATCTTCATGAGAGGCAAGATGTGATTTTACATTATTTAATACAATGTAGAGATGCAGTGGATATATATGTTTTCCTAATAAGCCTACCTCTAAGTGCTTGACATTCTGAATCAGAGCAGCAAAAAGCACTGGGACATAAGATGGGGTAATGCAAAAATAAAACATTATAAAAAGAAAGCTGTACAAGTTTCCTGCTAACTACGTGGTATGTACATACTACACTCAAAAGCTTTATTCCTTTCGTGGAATGATTTTTTTATGGTAACATTACTTTTAAGTAGAACAGGAAGAGTATAACATATATTATAGATTTAACACATAAACTGTTCTGCCAACTAAAATCCAAACATTTTTCTCAGCCCTATATTACACTTGGTTATCTTTTTTCCTGTTATGAGAGAACTCTCACCTCATTCCTATGAGATAATGACATCTAATAAGACCAGATATTTGCACAGCAGTTTGCAAGAAAGAGAACTACTTTTAATCTCCATTTTCCATAAACAAAGCTGATAATACAAACCTCCTGGTGAATAAATTATTAGCAATTAGCCTTAATTTGTGTGGTGGATCCTATCGGAGCATTTCAGTAGTAGACAAATGCTATTTGAGAGAGGTTTGTTCTCTAGCAGTAAAATAACAGGCTGAGGTCACTTTAAACAAATGTTTGAAATGCAGTGTATTATTAGTATTTCAATCACTGCCAATTGCCTTTACTTACTATAATTATTGTTTCATAAGATTTAGAACAAACATGTTTTGCTACAACATCTCACAAATTGAGGTGATTCAGACTCAGACTTGCCTTATTGTAAGCATATTCTGAAGCCAAGACTTTAATCCTAATATAAATTATTCAAAACTCATCACAAGTGTACCTGTTTTCTTTAAAAAATAAAGTAAATCTTGTATGAACTCTGCCTCAGAGATGGCTGCTCTCTTAATTCTCTTGGTCATAACTCACCCATTCCAACTATTAATTCCTTTCTATCACTTTTTCTTTCCTAATTCCTTTGCAAAAGGAATCTTAGTGACCACAGCTGTCTGATTTTGTCAAAAGTAACTTACAGCTTTCTACAAGCTTTGTGGAGTGGATTCCCTTCTTCCACATGAGTGTGATGGAACAGGCCACCCTCGTTTACCTAGTAAATGAAAAGCAAACACTGGAATAACTTACCTACAATCTAATGTGTTGCTAATGAACAGAAAACTACCTGATAATGCTTCTCATGATAATGTTTTGCATGCTGATGTTGGATATGACCAGCAGTGGCCTTGATGAGGGAGCATATGGTAGGGACACTGATGACAAAAGATGATGTGACATTGACTTTAATGACTTACCTAACATGTTTAAAGCAGACTGCCTTTTGATGTCCTAACTTCTAAGTGGTTATACTAAGATAAAGCCATCAGATTGTCATAAGTAAAAAGTACATTTTCCATTGCCATCAGCTGAAGAGCTCTCACAGCATTTCTCCTGTGCACTTCTCTACAATAACCATTACCTCAAATATTGACAATCCTAAGTACACTGTAATATTAAATGCTGTATAAGTGAGCAACTATCTTTCCAACAGATGTTAAATGCTTTCAAACAGAAACTTCAAAAGTTTTGTAAGAAATGCACTCATAATGTATCAGCTTTGCAAAAAAACAACCAACGAACCAAACCAACCTCCAAATTTCATTTATCTTTCAGGGGAAAAAAAGGTGTAAGTAGGGTATGTTAGCAAAATGGTTACTATTGTCCCCTTGGTCTTGGAATTTATAAATATACGAATACAACAGTTCATAGCACTCAGTTCATATGCTGCAGAGAAAACAGGTTTCCTGCATTGTCCTCATGGGACCCATAAGAATCGAAACTCTGCATTAAGGCAATCATTGTAACCAAACCACATACTTCAGCCAGCAATTCCCAGGACTCAGGAAGGAGTTAGTCCCCCTGATGCCCAACAAGTTTCCCTAATACACAACTAGGTTTTATCTATCTGATTTAGGTCTGGGTGCTTTTCACCTCCCTCTGAAGAATGAGCTCAGCCCTAGTTGTCTGGACATGCATCCAAACTCCATCCACCCAGATCAAGTCAGAAGCCAAATCAGATAGTGCCAACAGACCTTTAAAATTAAAAGCACTGTAATTCAGCAGTGTATAAATCATGTCCTTCTCCTGGCAGCTCTGCAACTCCTAAATCTTATCTGGTGCTTCTTGTCCCAGAGCAGAAAGAAATAATTCTATCTCCATTTAACAGTTTCTCAACTTTGTATAGCACAAATGGCTTTTCTGATATTTGGATTTATGTTTCCCCAGTAGTGACTGGAAAAGTGTACTATTATGGTACAGAATTCTGTTTTGGTTAATATATTTCCAATATTCATGGACTGTCCAGCATGGCCCTCACCCTTCACAATCCTGAAGCCCTAATCCTTAGACCTTTCCCTCTTTCCCTCCTCCCTACTCTGCATGTTTTGGGTTTTACTGCCCTTTTTCTTGAGCACACAGCCTAGCTCAGGTCAGGGAGTCCACCTCATGGTGGTCTGCAGCTTCAGACCTCTGGGTGAAATGCAACTATGAGCATATTTGACATGGCTTCTTTTCCTCCATGCATCAGCAGGACAACACAACTGATGGCAACACAGCTGTGTTAGAGCTTGGGCTGCTGCTGAGGAGAAGGGAACTTGGGAACACATGGTAGCAATTTGACTTTAAAATCTATATGCACACAAGGTCTTTCACACATCCCCTTACCTCTGTGCTGGGAAGGGGAATACAGAAGTCACATATGGAGTTATTTCTTGGATAACCAAGGAAGGCTGTCCATGGGGTAGACTTAACACAGAAAATCCCGTCTTCTTCACTCCACCTCCATAAGGGCTATCAAGATCATGTATGTAAAATTTGGGGAAATAAGAATTCTGCATCTCCTTAGGTGCTGACAGCACTTGGAACTATCTTAATTCAATCTACTTCTGATCCCTTTTCTGTTTGTGTCCTTGATGCAGGTAGTTCAAAGAACAGAATTTTCCTTATCCACCCTCTCCTCCGCTGCAAGTCCTCTGTGTTCTCTGAACTTTGCTCTCAGCATCTCTTACTTCCCTCTCTGTCTGGCAGACAAGGCAACCTTTGAGACCCTTGTGCTCTTAGTGTCACCACAGGGCAGAGGTTACAATTCACAGAAGAGCTGTCTCCTGCCAGGCTGTGAGCAGTATGCTAATGTGACAGCTTGGCAAGGATCTGAGAATGTCACTTCTAGCAAAATAACTGTCCTGCCTACTATTTGTCATATATACAACCATATATCCATCCACAAAAAAACCCTACAAAATCCAGCTCTAATATATATTTCAAATGAGATGCCCACAGGCACTTAGAGCATGAGTCTATGTCAGTAGCCATATGTGCTGTAATCCTCCTCTTTATACACAGACCCAGCATAATCCTTTCATGCATCATATATCTAATCTGTATTCTCTGCTTTGGAAGCAAGATTAATCTGAACATCTCAGAATTAATACAAATACATTAACTAGACTACAAATCTTCGTTACTTTGGCTACCAAGCAGTTAAAGAATGTGGCAAATGACCAAATAATCAGTCTGCCATTCAGCTATATGCTGTGCTACCATTTCAGTTCAGGTTCCTCAAAGCCCTGCAGCTGAACTACAGACGGGTATTTAATGCGGAATTGTATCTTTGGGGGGAATGTGTTATTTTTAAATGCTTAATAATTATGAATTCATTTGCCATTCTTTTTATAAGCAGGGGATCATAATGAACTCATCTGTTATTCATGTGAATGTCAAATGTATTCCCACAGGAGTTTTATTCTAATTCACTATTAGTTAGTGGATTCATAAAATAAAACGTTATCCATTTATTACTCTGAACATGTAACGCCGGGTAATTGTTCATCAAAGGGCAAATGTAGTATTTTTCTCCGATAACTTTCAGTTCTGATTTAACCAGGTAAAAAATTAGGTTTAAAGGAAGTGTACCTTTAGAAACAGAAGTAAATGTGACAAGCTGTGAGGCTTCCATTTAAAATGCAATGAATGAGATTATCATGAGCTATTTAAAAATGTAAATGTATTATACTGTAAGCATACATGCTTGAACCACACACGTTTAACATAAGCCAAACTGCACCCCAATATATAATACCTAATGCTAGTTCAGTGAAAGACACATTTTTAGTATTCATGAGGCGTTCACAACAGTTTTCACACAGCTGTTCTATTGCAATAGAAAACTGAGAGGCGAGATACTTACACATCACTGCAGGATTTGAATGTGATGACACTGGACAGCGGGACTTTGACCTGTGAAACCAAACACAAACTAAGCAAGAGGAAAAACAGAATTCAGACTTCACTTTTTCAGAGTTAAACAAATGGGTGTTATGGAGTTATTTTCAATTTTCTTCTACATCCCTACTCTGAACTGCATGTAAGGACTTAAGTCTATGAAATGATAGCCCTGAAATATTTCAGTGACAGTTCCTTAGCTCTGACATACCCTGCTAGGCTTCTCCTCAGGTGTGTTGCAGTGACTCTTTCAGTCTTGAAATCCTAGAATGGTTTTGGGTTGGAAGGGACCTTAAAGCTCCTGCAGTTCCAACCCCCTTGCCACAGGCAGGGATCCCTTCCACTGGAGCAGCTTGCTCCAAGCCCCTGTGTCCAACCTGGCCTTGAGCACTGCCAGGGATGGGGCAGCCACAGCTTCTCTGGGCACCCTGTGCCAGCGCCTCAGCACCCTCACAGGGAAGAATTTTTTCTTAATTCCTCATCTCACTCTCCCCCCTGTCAGTTTAAAGCCATTCCCCCTTTCCTGTCATTAGATGCCCTTGTAAAAATGAATTATTATGTAAGATACATTTGCAAGGGAGATGGTAACAAATACAGAATCCTATTTGTAATTGGAAACAAAAGTTTAATGTACTTATAGTTTTACTTTAAAATACACAAGCAGGGGAGTTCTTTATTTTTTTCAGTGTAAGTAACAGAAGAACATGATTTTAGTGTTAAGGATTATCTCAGTTACTTTATTCCGCATGGCAATGGTCATTTCCTCGAACCAAGTGTACAGTGTTGAAATCAAAACATGGCATCTCTGTGCAGTCTCTGGCAGTCAGTGGGTTACTAGAAAATTAACTGTAACAAAACCATTGAGAAAAAACAAGCATGAAAACCAATGCTCAGATGTATTAGGAATAGCAGAAAAGATGAATGAAGGGAAGAGTGCACAAGAGGACTAACACTGCTGTGCCAAAACCTGCATGAAACTTGGTTGAAGCCTGCATGCTTACCAGCTGCTTTTTATTCCAAATGAACATAACGTGTTTATTTTATACATTAAACAACTATGACAAAAAATTATCACTACCAGCAGGCAGCCTAAAGGCCATTCTCTAGAGAGAGAAACAAATGGGGTAGATAAGAATAAGACAAGAGTGTTATTTAATGGAATGTGTGTGTGCATGGACATATATATATGGTATAAATGTGGTATAAATGCCACTTCTTTAAAAGCATAGGACAGCTTGGGAGACCTAGGAACAGACAAATCATTCATCAGTTTATAAGGGAACCTACAAGTTTAAAAGACCTGATTTTGAACTCATTCTGTAACAGTGAAATTCTATTGACTTCGTTGGACTAACTTGATTTATACATGTCTGAAAGGAGACTTGACTTGTGCAATAGAAAGCACATCAGAAAATAATATGCTGGAGAGCATAAAATCTACAGAAAGGAAGCAATAAAGCTAACAAATAAGCGACTAACTATGCATAAGAGGTACAAGTAACAATTGACAGGAGAAGAGGCAATGGCCTCAAGGGGAGGTTTAGATTGGATATTAGGAAAGATTTCTTTAGAAAAGAAAATACAGAAAGATTTCTTTAGACCACATAGAGGGTGCTCAGGCATTGGAACAGGCTGCCCAGGGCAGTGGTGGAATCACTGTCCCTGGAGGTGTTCAAAACCAGTGTAGATGAGGCCCTTAGTGACACTGTTTAGTGGTGGCCTTGGCAGTGCTGGGGTAATGGCTGGACTTGATGATCATAAAAGGTCTTTTCCAACCTTGCTGATTCTATGATTCCACAGAATGCTGCCAGTTCCCACAGATTCCATTTTATTCAGAGGCTTGCCAGTCTCCTCTAAAGCCTCAAGGATCCAAGGAAGAATCATGGATGAGCTGCGCTTGAGCTGTTTGGTTTTTGCTACCTGCAGGACTGAACATGTAAAAAACAGAGAGAGGTGAGGATGAGGGGTGACCCCAGAGTGCAGTCAGGATCAGCCTTACTGGGGCTGCACTCACTGCCAATGATGAAAGTAGCAACTGCCATGAGAAAGCTTTTGCTGGAGCCCTGCTGGCTTTTTGCCACAAAGGGTAACATCTGCTATTAACTAACATTCTATTTATATCTCCAGGCTCTTCAAGACAATGTATTTCATGCTTTTAGCAGTTACAGGTTGATAGCATTGGAGCACCAGCACCTTTATGGCAAAACACTGGCATTTGTCAGGTTTTTCTTTCTGAGGAAGATAAGTGCACCAAAGTGATGTAAATGGTGACTTTATAAAACTAGTCACAGAAGGGACCAACATGACAGTCAGGGTGATGTAGACAGAGCAGAAGCACTGGAAGAGACAAGGTTAAGCAATTCAGGCACTGAGTATAAAAAATGCTAATACTTTTAGGGAAAAAGGACAAAAATACATTCAATAAATACTAGCATATTACAGTTCTGAAGAAGGAGAAACACGACTGACGCGCATATTTTCATAAGCTGCAATAGTCTTCTGCAGCTAACGAGCATTCTTTCAAAACAATAGCCAAAAGATTTCAAGAGGTGTGACTAAAACCATCCAATATAAGTGATTCGATGTTCCCACCTGGAACAGCAGAAGTGGTTCTTGGCTATATTAAGCTTAACAGCTTCTTTTATAGAAGCGAGAATGGGAAAGGGCAAGCAGAAGGATTCACTCGTTTTTCGCTGTTCACAAAGATTAAAGAAGAAAAAAAGTACTTTCGTCTTTGGAGGAAAGAACAGTATCGCTCATTTCTCTTCAGCCTGAGCTTCGATGCTGAGCAGTGTGCAATACCAGAGCAAGTGAGCATGAACCCAAGCTAAGAATGGATCATTAGAGGAATGGAGGTGGAGTTCCTTCAGACCAAAGACTAGATAATATGTGCAAAACCAGAGCAAAAGCAGCAGCCAGAATACACTAAATAATTTTGGAAGAAAATTAATCCAAAACCTCAGAAGTCTTACATGTTGCTAATATTCCCCTCTTCTGGAATTTCTTGCATTCTTGCATTAACTAAACCGGTATGAAAGTTTCATTCTGGTGGGTTTAGATGAGTTATAGAATCAAGTGCTGACCACTTGGGATGGTTAAAGATCTCGTGCAATTCTTTGACACAAACAGGCATGGAGTCATGCTGTCCTGATTAGATTTTAATCCCCAGCAATTGCAACTCCAGCCTCCTCATTTACTCATTCATTGAATATTAATGATTACATTTTTCCTAAGACACCTCAATCGTTGTGTCCTACCACATTGTTGCTAGGTGTCATTAGGGGTGGCTGTGTGATTGCGCTGGATAAAGACACCTACATACTGTCCTACATTTATTAATTTCAAAGTCTTAAAGCTAGCACCTTGGCCTCCTCAGAAATGAGACATACTATTAATATAGATGGTTGCTCTACAGGAGTGGAAAACATTTTGTGAAGGAGAACTACAAACAGCCATGTCAAAAAATATGTCCTAAGGCTTATTATTAATGTATCAGCTAGCATAAATCACTGTAGCTCCACTGACCTCAAATGAAACCATGGTGAATTTACACTGAGAATGTAGCTCTGTAAGCTACATCTTCTATTATCACTGGACAATGGAAAAATACATTCCAAAGGGGAGGATATTGCATTAACATAACATTTGAGGAACATTCCAGCTCAAAGAATTAAGTGAAAAGAATTCCATTAAAAAGCTACTCCTCGTCTCACCTTCATTCATTGAAGGTACTTTGATCCTCAGGCTTTTAATTAAATAACTACTGACTCCATTGACAGATTTAATGTTTCTGTCTCTAGCTAGGAAACTGTCCAGTCCTAGATATTTAGTTCAACAAATAACATTTTAGAGCACATGGTGGGTTGTTGGTTTTCTTTTGCTTGTTTTTTTTGGGGGGAAGAGTTGTGTGTTTGGGGTGTTGTGTCTTTTTAACCAGCTGATGTCCAGTTTTGCAGAGCAAGCTCCATGCATATAAGGTTTAACAGGACCAACCCCTAAATTTGCCTAAGAGTGAAAAATGTCTGCAAAACAATGTTAATTTTAAAATACTACAGCTGGATTCACAGTATGGTGAAATTGTAACATAGCTCCAAATATGAAACAGGGCCAGGATTCCAGCGACACAACATGTGAGGACCTTTTGTCTGCTGGCTGGTATCACATCCTGAGATGGCTTTTTGTACAAGATTTTTTAGAAGAGACTTCAATAGAGGTTTGATATATGGAACAATAGCAGGATATGGCCTCTAACTGGTAGGAACAATTACTGTTCTCAGACATGTGCAAGTTAACTTTCATTAACTTTATTGGATTTTGTGCACACTTTCTGGCCTAGATTCAGAGCTGCATCTAATTTCTCCTGGGGACAGCTGAGAAAGGGAGCACACTGAAGAACAGCAACTATTCTTTCTAAGCAGAATATACTAAGGAAAACTCACATGAGCCTCAGGAATGTGATAGAGCAGTTTGGGAATAACGTGAGACAGTAATGCAGGCAAACCCACTTTCTTTCCAGCTACATCCATAAAGTCTTGTAGGCTGCAGAGCAAGGGAAGAGTTGTCTAGACTGTCTCCACAATGGGTGGAAACTCTTCAGACCAAAGGAATTCGCAGCATGTAAATCTTCCAGTTTAATGGCAGGCTTGTCCAAAAAAGATCATTACGATGGGAAGACGCAAAGACAGAATTTAACTGTTGAATTTGGGGAGATCTAAGTACAGACTCTTCTCTAGACTAATAACTAACTAGAGTAATAACCAACAACTCCATAGAGATGCTAGCTGGTTACACTGCTCAATTTTTGGAGTTTGGTTTTTACAGAATTAACTGTGGTATAATGTTTCCTTTAGTTCCAAGAAAGTGGAAAATGATAGATTTTGAAAAGAGAGCTTTGTTTCCCCTTTCACTCCCCAGCTCCGACTTTTCCACAGTCTCAAGCATTAACTACTTCAAGGCCCCTTATGCAGCCTCTGTCTTTCATCTACTTCCTCAACTGGCTTTCCTCACCTATTGTT